TTATTTCCACCCATGTTGATGAATTTTGCTGGGCTGGCACTGAACTTTTTCAAGGTGAAGTAATTGAGTGGATTTGAAAGAAATTTGTAGTGAAGTCTGAAGCAAACTAGTGAACTTTATGGAAAGTTTGAGAACTGAGTAGAAACTTGCACTTTTTTTTTTTTTTTTTTAACACAAGTAAAATAAATTTACATCATATTTAGGTGTTATTATGATCTACAGATTTTAGTTTTACTGATAGTTTAAAATCAGTAAATATTTATATCCTTTTATCATTAGTACCAGGAATAGAAAATTAAGTTTTAAACAAAAAAAAACAAAGAATCATTTTTGGAATTGGAAATTAAATTAAAAATTCTCTGATTCTAATGCCAATTCTGATACCACAAAAAGTTTTGATGTTTCTGATCCTCAATTCCAATTAATTGTCCCATGTCTAGTTAATTCCCTTTAGTAACTCAACTCTTCAAGTTTTTGTTTCCTTTGCTGTGGCTAGGTATTGAACTCACAACTCTTTGGGTGAAATCACATATTTGGGGAATTACTTTCTGAGGAAAACAGTCTGAATGATGTAAATAGTGTAAGTAATAATAACTAATTTTAACTCGAGAAAATTTCAGTTTTACTATCTGAAATTTCTGATGAATCTTAAGTCTTCAGTCAATGAATTTTGTATGTTGAATTCTACAAAAATAAAATATCCATAGAAATTGCTCTATCCTATTGTTAAATATTTGAGATATTGACCAACTTTTAGAAAATATTGCTATAACAATCATAAATATGAATACTAGTCATTATTTTAAGAAGTGGGTACAAATGAAATGATTTGAAATTGACAACTTTTTTTTCCATTTCACTGAAACAGATTAAACTCTTCTCTTCCCGTCTTTCTTTTATTTTCTCACTGAAACCAAATAGTGTCTTTCATATGTCTTTTGTCTGCTCACTTGGTCAAAACAGAATAGTCCATTATTTATGAGGTGTTAGCAGGAGATGTTAAACACTTCTATCTTTCTTTCATTGAAACCAAGTAGTGACTTTGATATGCAGAGAGCTAGAATATTTGGAGACTTTTTGAAAAGGAACAATTTTAGACTGCAGAAGTTGATATGAATACTATGAATGTTGGAGAAGGAAAGGTTAAGGGATTGATGTGATTTTCGTTGACTGGCTTTAGGTTTATATATTTGGTTGTTTATAGTCAGGATGCATTATATTGGTAAGGAAAAGGCCTAAGGTATTAATAGCAGTTGGTCATTTGAAGTGACATATGCAGAAGGAAAATGGCACAGACTGCAATATAGTGTGGCCTCAAGGGTTCCCACCAAAGGTACCTGCAGGGACACCCTTCCATGTGCAACATGGCACGGCAAGAACCCTGTTATCATGCAACTGTTCATCAGAGCTGCCTCTTAAGATACTACACAAGAGTTTGGGCTCCTAACTATCAGTCGGGAAAAGCAAACTGCCAACCTGGTACCCTCAGTATGAAGAGATGTTGCCACCAACCACACACATCACAAACTCATGACAGCACCACTATTAAGGCCTGAAAAGAGGAAAGAAACCGTAAACCCCTTCCTACAATGGAAACAATGGGTGAGCCTCTACTCCTGTCCAAGGGAAGGAGGAGGAATATGAAAAAAAATGGAAACAAAAAAAAAAAAAACAAATCCGGGTTTGACTTCCATATACATTATTACAGAGAACGATAAATGAAGGCATATCTGTGTGCAGGTGGGATGATGATGATAATAAAAAACAAAGTTGCAATTTGGAATAATTATGTTTTAGTTAAAGTCCGAATACTAACTTTTTTAGGATTATGTTAATGCTACCCAGCCAGTGGACCAAAAATGAGAAAAAAAAAAATTCACAGTAGATGGTACAATATTATATATATATATATATATATATATATATATATATATATATATATATATATAAAATAAGAAATATCAAGTTAACATGAAAACATACATTGCATTTAAAAAAAAAAAAAGTGTGGATTCAACCATTACAATTGGCAAGATTCTTTTTATTGTCATGGGCAATTTGGCCAAAAGTAAGCCTGGGAGAGTTAGGTTTCACGCTATAGTTGGGATTCTTGGGAGGGGATCAAGTAGTAAAGTATCCTTACCACCTCTCCTTTGTTGTTGGGTGGGCAGTGGGTCTTCTTTCTTTCTTTAGAGAGAGAAAACTAGTTAGAGTATTTTAATAGTATTGTCCTAGCAAAAACCTTGCTATGATGTACTGTTTTTGCTGTTTTAGGATAAGAAACAAATATAATAGCAAACAGAAATTGGTTTGTTATAATATGGATTTTACTAGCTGAAAACATCCTCTCAGAATACGCTTTCCAATATTTTATCTCCTTGCATTAAGTAATAAATTCACTAACTTTTATTCTGGTTAGTAGCCTGTGCCAAATTAATACTTAGGCTTTTTTCTCTGTCTTAATCTCGACTTTGATAAATACAGTGTCAAATTCCTCAAGTATTATGACTATAAATTAACTGCTTTCAAACAAGGAAATAATTGTGATTATTCTGGCCTGTCTGACTCGCTGTGTCTGGCTCTTATCTCTGCGTAATATATGTCTGTGGGTCAGTTTTGTTTCTTGCTGTGCTAGACTGATAAGAAAATAGACGGGAATAATCTTGAAGTTACTGCTCTCTCTCTCTCTCTCTCTCTTGATGGAAACTAATTTTTTGGTGTTGTGTGTTCTTGGAGAGCAGAGACTGGGTACTTTCTTTTAAGATTTTAAATAATTGATTTTGGTAAGTAGGTTTGGTATTTATGGCAGTATTTGTTGTGATTAATATACTATTTTTTTTTTTTTTTATTCTCATAAGCTGATCAGATCATTTTTTTTATCTACTGTATACCGAGCACCAGGAATTCTTAATGAATTTTTTAAGCTGTTAAATTCTTAATGTGGAAAAATTGACTGTTGGTCAGGTGGAAAAGGAGCAGTGTACTTACCTTATGGTGTTGAAATCCATACTAAACAAAAGGCTTGTTATTATTACTAACCTTTTATATTTCCAGTGGTCATGTGACAGGGTTACCATGTGATCCCTGAAGTTGTATAAAACAGGAAATCTATATCTTATTTTTTTTTTTTTTTTTTTTTAAATTACCTTCTATGTTACCAAGTTATCAGACGTTGTGGAAAACGGCAATCTTATTTCACAACTTAAGGTAGGTGCTATTGCTTTTTTTTTTCCTTGGCCTGACCACTCTGTTTGTTTGGGGGATCAGTAGCATTTTCTTGATATTAATAACTATTTGTTGTATTTCTGGCTTTGGTTTGAATATTGACCATTAGACATAATTCATTTTTTTTTGTTTTTTTTTAAATATTTTATAAAATTTATCCTAAATGTGCAGTTTGGTCATATCTAGAATCTTTTGAATTTTCTTAAATGTTGCAATTTAAAATATTTTTATTCTTTTTAAATGTTGATATTTAAAAATGTTTTGCATTTATATTAATGTATGTACAGAATAAATTAAAAGTCTTATCTACAAAAGATCATATTAACCTCCACCCCTATCCTGCCAATTGTTAGTTTTCTTTTGAACTGTATCTTTAATTGTATTTAATGTCTGGGTTAGATAAATATGAAGTTTGTTTGGGAAGCATACATCTATTTAATATGAATAAACAGATAGTTTACATAGGATAGTGGAGCCATAGTTCTCATCAAAATACTCCTTTAGGGACTTTATATACTTCTATCAGCATCTCTTCAAATATTTATAAGATTTAGCTTATTCTGACACAAGTCCACAAGTAGAGTACCCAGAAAAGACTGGTCTCTCTACATTAGTGAATTAGAGTGTAAGACAAGCTTGTTAACCACTACTCTGCAGCAATGTGACTTTCATACCAAGGTTTGCTTAGTCTAGCACAAGGCAACATATTTGAGGCACTTAGTGAGGATTAAACCCCTCACAGTAATTATGGCCTGCTAACCACTAATCTATAGTGAGGCAGCAATATGTGTTGAGTATTCTTTCAATTAGTTTATTAGTAACACTCCTTACTTAAATCTTGTCTAAAACTATTGGCTCATCAAGTTATGTAAATGAAACTGCATTTCCATTTCCAAACAGCAGTTCCACTGCTAGTTTAAATTAGTGATTCCCAGACCAGGGAGGGACAAGAAATGTTCTTTAGGATTGCAGGATCAGTAAAGAAAAATTCTGTTGGTGGGGCTTATTAAACATGGAGTGCATCCTCTACAGAAAAGAAAGTTCCCATCCCAAAAGGGGACACCTTTCAAGTAGATACTTGCAAAATTGGATATAAACTAGACCAGTGTCTATGTTTTTGATTCTCTAATAAGCCAGACCAATATCTACCATTTTGACTCTAATATAAACCAGACCAATGTTTATTTATCTGTTAATTCATTGTGACTTTTGTCCTATACAACTTATATTGGACATTACATAACACAACACTGATTAATGCTATTAAATTAATCAATCTGAAAAAAGTAAGAAAATAAAATGTTAAAAGTAAAAAATAATGCAAATATATGTACATCACAATTTTAGAATCTAAAGCATCATTGGGAACTCTGAAACAGGAAATTAATTGTGGATAATAATAAAGCCATAATAAGTGTATGGAAACTCTTGATGTATTTCAGTTTGTTTGTATTCAATATTTGTATAAGAAATATTTAAAAAGATTTATTGATTATTAAGTAAAATTTATTGGCTAAAATTACATGACAAAACATTGAAATAATGATTTGGCTTTGAGAATTGCCACTCTTGCTCCTCCTAAAATATTGCATTCAGGATTGAGGCAAAAACATTTTGACCTGTAAATTGTGCATTTTATTTTTTTCTTTCAATGTTGATTTGTTGCACCTCCTGAATTGAATGGCATTTTCCACATCGATTTCTATGTCTGTTTTAATTTTTATAGCTTTGGATACTCTGTTGATGCTTTGTTGCTTGTCTTTTGTTAGTTCATAATGGATGTGACTGACTCTACACACCAGAATATCTCAGATGGCAAAAATAAGCCAGAAAGAAATGAGACGCCAACAAATATTGAGGTTTGTATATGATGGGATCTATTTCTCTTTTCTTTTTGTCTTGTGTGTGTGTGTATATATATATATATATATATATATATATATATATATATATGCTCTGTGTTTGAGTAGGCATTCCTGTTTTTTTTTTTTTTTTTTTTTTTTTTATAGACAGTGAAATTAATGTTTATCAGCCTAGAGAACAAAAGTACTTTCTCACATCAAAAATGGAACACAAGTTCAATTTATGTCAGGTATCACATTTTTTTTTTTTTATTGAGACTTTCATTCTCTAGGCTGGTAGACATTAATTTCACTGTTTTAAAAAAAACAGCAATATCTATTTAAGAATGTATACCTGCCAAAAATAACATGGATTAAAAAAAGACATTAATTGCTTAGAAATTATTTTTCAGGTACAAAAATCAAGAAGATATAGATTCTAATGAGATGTACAATTTTTTTAAGTGGGGTAATTTAATCTTGCTTTGCTGTAAAGGCCTCCTGTAGCTTAATAGTAAAGCATACTGGCTTTAAAGTGGCTTTGCTAGATTGAGAATAGAATACAGGTTTGATTCCTTTCAGGAGGCACATTCTCTTTATTAAGATTTCGATCTGTAGACTGATAGACATTAATTTTGCTTATATTTCTGAAGTTGAGGTGCCAAAGAGGAAAGCTCATCAGAACAATTACCATGAAAATATTTATAGAAGAGGAAAATGGAAGCTATGTGATGCTAGTGAGAAAGTGACTGAAGACAAGATGCCAGTTCAGGATAAATAATTATTGCTGATTCTTTTATCAAGAATCTCTAAATACATAGCAGAAATCCTAGACTAGCAATATTTGATACATGGGTGAATAGTAGACTTAGGAATGTTCAAGATAGATTCTAGCAAGCTGACAGCCTATAAGACCCGTACAGTTATTCCTGTTTGAATTCCAGTCAGGTACATTTCATTCACTTAATTGCAAATACTGTTGGGAAAGGTATGTATCCATCTCCCCCTTCCAGCTGTACTAGTATCTGGAAAAGGTTTTGCTATTTTCAAAAGATTTTAATGGAATATTTACTTGTAAATTAACAAACAAAGAATTATTCTTACAATCCAAAATATGTTTCAAGCATTAAGTAACCCAGAAAGGGTTGGTTAAAAAATCAAATCAATCTTAGTCTACCCACTCAATTAACATATACCTACTCCCCCATCCCCAAGTATCAAAGTTTGAGGCTTGTCATCTGCTGTGGTTAATATGGAAGGTTTGAAATATGATACTATACTTCATTGCTTAGCCCCATGCATTTTTCTATCATACAATTGTTTGGAGATGCCCAAAACATCCAGAAAACTTTTTGAAAGTCATGTTTTTCTGCAATTATTGCACAACTGTTATAGTGAACATTTCATTCAAGGTTATTTTTTGGGTCTGAGAACACTCAAAAATTTAATCCATGTAAAATGATAATTTTTCCCCTGCATTTACAAGGGAAAAATTACCATGATAGTAATTTTGTTCCCCTGTAAATTGATGGTAAATATTTGTTTGCTTGATGCCATTTCAAGTTAAAAAAAAGTTTTCATAAGAAAGTTTTTAGATTGTAAGATGTGTATATGCCTAATTTTAGTTGCTATTTGACCAACAACAGATTTTTGGTGAAGGATTTTGAAGATTCATAATTCTCTCAGCCCATTAATGTAAATATATTTGTGAATATATATTCAGGAAAAATTCAAACATATTTGATAATTTGATCATAAATATAAACAAAATGTATAAATTTTAAATTTATAATTTTGTGCACATGCATCTGACCCCTTATTTCCAATTGAAATTACTTTAACTGATAAGTATCTACATTTAGTTGTTTTATTGGAAAATTAAAAACAGTGAATATTGTTGTTTCTAAATTCATTTTGAACACAATATCCAATGGGCCTATTAGAGAAAATTGGAAAAATAAGAAGATCTAAACCGTGAATGGGAAGGAAATGACTGGTAGTTGAATGTATTATGATTCTTGTCTAGTAAACATCATGCGTGTTAGTTTATTGAAGTCAAGCACTTTATTTGATAGATATATTTTCTATCTTCATAGCAAATGACTTGGTAAGGAAAAGTTAGAATTCCTATTGAAACTTTTGGAAGATAATGTTGTTTATTTTAACGTTTATCACTATGTATGTGACTTCATTTGCTGTATGAAAAATTTATCCTGCAACTGAAAATGACTCTGATCTGTGTGTTTGAATTTCATAGTTGTGTTGTCATATCCTGCTATAGCAACAGAAAACAACTTTGAAATTAACAATAAGGATATTGTAACTGAGAGGCCTTGAAAAAAAATGCAGTGGAAAGTGAAGTAATATTAATAATGCAGAGGGTTAAAGGTTAATATCTGCTCTATGAAAAGTGATTGTCAAGAGCCATAAGAAAACTACAAGAATTCCCACAGAAGCTATTGAAGGAAAAGAAAAAAGAACTAAACATCAACTGTGGGAAGACAGAATACATGGTTGTCTGCAAAAGTAACAGCCCAATATGCAAATTTCAACTTGGAGATACCAAAATCAAACAAGTGCAACAAGTCAAATATCTAGGAAGTGTTTTAACAGAGGATGGTAAGTGTAACAGTGAAATCCAAAGGCAATCTGGGATAGTGAAAATTGCCTTCCAAAAGCTAAGTATTAATAGAAGCATTTCATTAGAAATAAAGAAAAGAGTACTGAACTGCTATAATAATATCAAGTCTCCTATATACTGGACAATCTCCTCAAAGATGAAGAGACTTGGAGCAACAGATGCTGAGCATACCATGGATCAAACATGTGAGAAACGATGAAGTTCTAGAGAAAATGGACACAAGACACTTAGCATCAGGAATTAAGAGAGATAACAAAAAGACAAAATTTATTAAGAGCTACAAAGTCCAGGAAATTGTGGAGAACAATGATTGCCAATGTCCTGGTATGATATAGCACATAGAAGATGGAAAGTGAACTTTAGTTTGTTTTTTTTTTTTTTTTTTTTGCTTATTGCAATGTATATTTATACACACACAATATTTGATGTTATTCTGCTCCTGTTAACCTGGTAATTGGTTATTATAAAATTGATTTCCTCTTTTTTTTTTTTTTTTCTCCCCTACTCAGGAGAAACCAAAAGATACAAGCAATGTAAAGAAAAACAAGAGGAAGCCTTTGTATCTTTGGTCAACTGCAGATGTGAATAAATGGCTCCGAAAGCATTGCAGTTGTTACTGTGATATGTATGAAAATATGTTTCTGGATCACGAGGTAACAGGTAACTAGTTTTTCTTTTTCACTGCTCCAATTTGATCAGATTCAATCAAATTGCATTGCATTTGGCAGCATGTTGTTCGTGCAAGCCTTATTCAATAAGTTCAATACTAAAAGGAGGCTGGTAAATTTAAACTGAAGCCAGATTTGATTCTGTACAATTAAATCAATTTCAATCATACCCAGGTAGATATAATCCAAATGAAGATTGTAATTTTATTATAAAATCTTTTTTCCTTAAAATAAACTCAATTTGTTTACATCTTTTGAATGTCTTTATTTCTTAATTTTTATAAAGCTTTGATTTAATTTGAGAAAGATTAAATAAAACCTGATTAAAAACAATTCTGTCTATGAAATTGTTCTGGGTTTATGGAAGAAAAAAAGGAAAAAAAAGAGCAAAACAAAAAGGTAGAAATCAGAACAAAGGGAATATTTCTTTTAACACCAGGAATTTCAGGGCAAACTTTTTTTTGTTTTTCCCCCCCCTTCTTCTATGGTGAGACACTGAAACACAATGAGTCTCTTTTTCTCCTGTCTGTCTCTGTTCTTATGTAGTTACCTTTATGCCAGTCAAAAGTATCCTCTACCCACCAACAAATTTGTAGCCTTTTATATGTTTAGAATTTACATGGCTGTCTCTTGCTAGTTATATAAGGCATGCCAATCCACACATAGGCCTTTTCCAAATTGAAAATAGTGGACTAAGCCTGCGAAACGTGGCATTTTCAATCCTGGTAAGTGCACTGAATGTTTGTCACAGAAATGTTAGTCATAAAAATTGATAAGTTTTTAACACTTTCACTGTTAAATTGTTATAACATTGTTACCTGGTTGTGCTGGCTCTTTTTGGGAAAAACAGAAAATTACCATTTACTACACTTTCTCAAAGGCACTGCCATTTTAATTTCAATTGGAAACTCTGAAATACAAACTAAGATTCCCAGCACATAATAAAAATACATCACAAAATAGGTTGTATCATACTTTTTATTTTTATACTAATGTTCAAGCAATACAAGTCCAAAGAAAAACTCAAGGTAGAGAGACACTACATGGTGTTGTATGAGCATAAGAAAAGGCATGAAGTGAATTTCATGTCTTTATGCTGAAAAGATAACGGTTAACCTTAGACTTAGTCAAGATTGTAGCGATTGGGAAAACATTGCTGAAAGTCTGCTCTACAAAGCAGCAGTTCTTGGCAAGAAGCTGTCTGGGTGGAACTTACTTTTTATTATAGCAATACAAAGGGAATGGGAATGATTCCCAATTATGTCCATGACATGGTGGGTCCAAGTTGTAATGGTCAGGGCTAGTGGGATCAAGGAATGTAGCTTGTCAGAACACATGCCATAGAAATAGCAATAGAGTTGTGAGAGGCTCACTATATGTCTACAGTGGGTTGGAAATAGCACTAAGCATTAGTTAGTTTATATCACAAAGGCTAGGGACTGACATTTGATGGTGTCTGAAAAACATCAATAGGCAAAAACAGTAGGCAATGTAAGTTATGTAAAGTTGTAATGTAACAACTGTGTCAGTCCTTATCAGCAATAACCAATTATGTTGTCAGTCCTTAAGTTCCTTCAGACCACCTTGGTTACCTTTTAGCTGACTCTTCACTCATTAGCATGTGACTCGTTTTGTCGCTGGTATCGTGTTGGTGGCATGGTTCCACTCAACTTATCTGGCGTTTGTCTGTTCATGACCATTCACTCCTGCCATGTTTTGTTTTTGATCTCAGAAACTGAGAAGATTGTTGATAAAGCAAACTTGGAGTGAAAATGGTTAGACCATTTGGGTGCCACACAAGAAAAAACAAGAATTCTTTGAAATAAAGTATTAGTTAAAAAATGTAACAATTTGGTTTATGTATGATTTGTTGTATACAGCAGCTTTAACCCTTCCCACTTGTTGCTATAATCAAATGACACTGGGATCCCCCTTCAAAGTCTGCAGTGTGTTTTAGTAGTGGCTTAAATTTCTTGTCTTCATGTCCGACACAAGTTTTTTGGTCAGTAGGTTTTGGCTAATGTTGCGGATTCCTGTATCTCTCTTTTTGGGTTTCCTGCTCTTGTGTTATCTCAACTGTCTTTGAGTCCAAAATCTCCAGCTTATATGGAGTCCTACGTCCAGCAGGGGATTGGAGTTGACTAGGGACTGGGTTTGGTTGTCATCTACCCTAAGTATAAACCTTTTGTAAATTTCCGTATATAAAAATACATTTATTCATTTGGTTTTCCGAATTTGGGGTTGTCCAGGCTCCTATTTTTTAATATAGGTCATGACATGAAGTTGTTTGCATATAAAACCTAGACAATTTTCCTTATAGTCATTTTTCCTTCATAAGATGTATCAAAGTCTGACGCTCAAACTTCACAGGAAGTGAAAGAGATGGGGAGGTAATTTAACATAATGCTAGTCAGTTATATGCTTATTCAGCTTCTTACATAAAATTTTGTAGTTGATAAATAAAAGGCCCCTTTCAGAAACTGGCAAAAACTTAACTGTTCAAAAAGAAAAAAACACAGATCAAAAATAAAATACAGAACTACTTTGGCAAATTAATATGCAACTGTTAAAGAGCATCCATATAAGATGTTAATAATACTAATCACACATCAATATAAAGCAATATTAAATCAAAATGAATCATACAAATAGAATAGTAAGCCATATAAGGTGCACAACAGTTCATCTACTGATTATTAGTATAAGAAAAAGTATTATCAAATTCAAAGTTTAAACATATTGTAAGTTAAAAGGTAGGCTATGCCTACAATTTACAAGTCAATTCACTTTGGTTTAATAGGAGTTTTTATCAGAAAATATGATAATTTCTATTTTTTTTATGTAAGCATAAAAAATTGGTTCATTTAAAGATCTACATGTTTAGCTTTTTTTTTTAAATTTTCTATTTTACCTTAGGAGTTTTATTAGTTTTTAAATTCCAAAAATATTTGGAAGATGTACTATTTTTATAAGTACTATTGGTGAAGGATAAGACATCTTGATACCACTTAGTCTTAAAAGAATTCTTAGTAGTACCAATATAAAATTTTTCAACAGTCGGATTCTCTATTGTAGAAATTGTAGATAAACAAGAGAAGTGGTTAAACATTAGTTTCATAATGGGCATTCATTAGAATCCTTGCAATTACATTGGTTAATATTATTAACAGTATTTATCTTAGGATGTTTATTATTATCCAAAGTTTTAAATTAGTTTAAAATTTTATTATTATTATGCTTTTTTATAATTTTCTCAAGATTAACAGTGCAGCTATAACTTAGGTTTAGTGCATTTCTGTTAAATATTTTACTAAGAGGGTTACTTTTAGGGAAATTTTTATCAATTAAATGGAGGAACTTCTGGCCTAACTTAGTACTGACCATTTGGTTAAATGGGGGTGTGTACAAAATTATTCTATTTCTTTTCCTTAGATCGCTATTATCATATTTTCTATACTTAATTTCAGCATACTTGTAACCACTATTTTTTAAAGCAGTATTATAAACACTGCTGTATTTATCAAACATTGTCACATGAGTTGTTGCTAATTCTATGTTTTATAGATGAGGGTATATGTTTGATTGCAGATGGAGGGTGGTTAGAATTGGGATGAATATATATTGGGTCAGCATTATTTTTCATATAAGGCTGGAATACATTAACAAGATCTAATGTAACATCATATATGTAAGTATTTACTCCTACTCTTTCCCTCTTGAGGCCAATGTATTGTTAATGAAGTGGGGGACTATACTGATGACATAGGTATTCATAGTTGAAATAAGAATGATCTTGAACAGAAAATCAACATCCTCTACCAAATGTTTCAAGAAATAGGATGCCAACTCAAGATAAACCTTTCCAAAACAATTCTGGAATTCGAATGAAATTAGTTATGGCACATGATCTGAATCCATCATAAAAATTCAGGATGTGGATTTAGTAAATACTAAACAATTCAAAGTCTTCAATGTATGGATCAGTTAAAACAAATTCAGCATAAGGGGAAAGGAAATTGAACATAGAACAGGCTGTGCTAGTGGTAGTTTTGCCCAACACCACAAATTAGCGCAACACCAAAAAATTAGCCCTAAAACCTGAGTAATGTTCTTAAATAACCTTGTCAGATAATTTCATATGGATATCATACATGGTGCAAAAATCATTCAGAAATATCTAAACTGTCAGTTGTATACAACTGCTTTCTAAGATCAATGGTTAAAAATGGCTTTGTACAAGTGAAGCCTGAGGGTTTTGACAAAAGTCATCCTACTTTGAACATTGCAGACTGGCACTACAGATTCACAGACAAAGAATATATTTAATATTTCTTTTCCTCTTCATTCATTTAATATATTTTTTTTCCTCTTCATTCATTCCATATATTTCTTTTTTTTCCTCTTCATTCATTCCATATATTTCTTTTTTTTCCTCTTCATTCATTCCATATATTTCTTTTTTTTCCTCTTCATTCATTTAATATTTTGTTGTTCCTTCTTTTTTCATTTGTCTCTTTTGCAAATAAAGGAATGAAAACAACATAACTCAATAAATCTTACAAAATAGTTCTGTTTGACATTTCTGGAAAGTTACCAAACATGTCAGGCAGCATCTGATGAAGGTCATAGTTCAGGGTGGCCATAATGTCGCAATAAACAGCCAAGATAAGAAAGCTGGTTTGAAAGAATTACTGTATAAAGTTTTTCTTTTTCAGGTCGTACATTAATTCGAATGAATGAAATCAAATTGGAAAAAATGGGAATCAAAGATTCAAATCACAGGTATACCATTGTTTGTTTTATTTTTGTCTGTTCCCTCCTATTTACATAAAATATCTTGAACTTGATTGACAAGAATTGCGGACTTTCTATTTTTTTTTTTTTTTTTTTTTTTCAGGCGGGAATTGATGCAGCAAATTTTGCAGCAGAGGCTGAAGCATGAACGTACAGAATTAAAAAATGCAGACATGCGTGGAACTTTGATGCTAACGTTTCATCAGAATGGAAGTAAGATTTTTTTTTTTTGTTTTTTTGGATAGAAGAGATGATAATCTAATTCTAGACAGGGTTTCCTTACCTTTCAAACTTAGTTCTGCCTTTTGCTTTATTGACTTGTAATTCATAGCAACGGTGAAATATGTAATTATTGTCAAACACCCTCGGATATGTATTTTGGTCAAATTTCATATCTAAATTGTTTGTCTATATAAAATACTATATTTATTATTAAATATATTCAGTTTAAATAAAATTACTTCAAAGGGTTGTACATTTTCCTATAACTCAGGTATTGTTGCGAAAGAAGCAAATTAACCCTCAAGACACAGATGTTTTTTTTCTACTTCATTGATTAAGTGAGTTCAATTCTCAAGTAAAACCTCATAAGGAAGTCAAAATAAACTTTGTTGTTGCTCATGTTCAATCCCTGGTATCCTCAACATCCTTCTGTAGAACCACATTTTTGTTGCTTCAAGTCTCTTCATTTGTGAGTAGATTATCTAGCATTCATTGCCATATAGGAAGACTAATATTACATAACATTTCAGTACCCTTCTTTGTTTCTGATAAAATTTTCCTGTTTTTTAATACTTTACTCAAATTTTAGAAGGCATCTTTCACTATCCCAGTGTGCCTTTGGATTTCAGTGTCACACTTTCCATTTTATGCTAAAACACTTCCCAGATATTTCAATTGTTGTACTTGGTTGATTTTGGTATCTCCAATTTGTAATTTGCATATTGGGCTGCTCCTTTAACACTACTAATACAAATAATAGTCATTAGATGTGTCCATGAAATAAAATTTGGAGTAAAGGTCTGAAAAAACGAAAATATTTTTTATATACCCTTATATATGGGATTTTTCTGTGTTTTTAACTTTATTTAGGGCAATGGTTCTCAATCATTTTTGCCCAGAATCTCACCTCCTTTCCAAGATTGTCTGACTCAAAAGGTGCATTCCAAATAATATGCATATATTATTGAAAAATCTTCATTCTTTTCCATTTGAGTATATATACATTTACATGGATTATTTTTCTAGAGGAGTTTTATAAATTTAATAGTAATAGAAAATGTTGATGGATTTTTTAACTTGAATGTTGCATGTACAGTAATTTGTTTTAATTCATGACTAATTATTAAATAAATAAACTGAAACATACTTCAATGGATATAAAATTCAATAGAATTGTAATTCAATAAATGAAAAGTTCAATAGTTCAAGGTATTTAAATTGATTTTATTCTTATGAAGATTACAGTTGACAAGAAACTTGTGTAAAATTAAAAGATTTTTCCCTCTCTACCTGAATTTGTCCCATGATATTCCGCTTTGGTTGAGAACCCCTTATGTAGGCATTTTTTTTTTTTTTTCAAATATTTTATATCTTTTTGAGTATCTTTCAAAGGGATTTACTAACAAGTACTGTATTTTCTGACAGGTAGTGTATCAGTTTATAATAAATCAGTTGTCATGGCTATCTCTCCAGTTCAAGGATGATGATATTGTTCTGCTTGCTTCAGTCAGTTGGTTTGCGGATGCTGAAATGGTTAACGAGACAAATTTTTGTTTGAAAGTTTCTTCGGGATGATAGATTAAACCTTGGTGGTGGTTGTCTTTTCAACATCTTTTTTCCTCTAGTTCAGTTGATAGTTTGGATTTGAAGATTGATGTTCTGTCTCTGGCAATGGATCTCCTGAGATTCTTGTCCATTGCACTGGATTCTCAGCTGTTGATGTCAAATAAATCAATATTGTGTAAAGATTTATGAATGTGGTTTAAAAAAAAAAAATGGGTTAAATGAGTTGTTTTCTCTTAAAAGCTTCTTCCATAAATAATTATAAAGTATATAAAACTTGTACATTTTCTTTGACTAGAATTATTTTGCAACATAATATTTAGTATTGTTGAAGCTATCACTTACAATTTTTGTAGCGATTGACAAGCTGTTCAATTTTGTAAACCAATTGATGAAATCTGAATAAGATGATTTGTTTGGAAAAATTATTTGACAAAAAACTAATTCGCAGCTTAATAATTTCATTAATTTAATCCTTAGGACTTCATGGTAAACAATATTTTTTTAAGAAAATTTCTTTTTTTCTTTTTTGACAGCAAAGAATAAATTTTTAGGATTTCTTACTCTTGAGCATACGACATTTGAGCCAAATTTTGATTTGTTTATAGTACTTGTAAATGCAGGTTGACTGAAAACTCGATTCTTGTATGTATAAAAACTTAGATATATGTAAAAAAAAACAATATTGCATTTTTATTAAACAAGTATTTGTATTTTCATCATTAAATTAATTTTTAAATAGTGGGAATATTTTGTATATTAATTACTAAAACTTTTAATTTTTCAAAAGAAATTTATTGTACTAAGCGACACACCCTAGTAAAACCAACTGTACTTTGTACCCCCCACTTACCTGTTTGCCGTTCTCCCCAAAATTTGGTTTCAATCGGTCAATGTATGGCTATTTTAGCATGGTGTGATGGACAGACTAATGGAAACTACAGAATTTTATATATAGAAGATGTCTTTTTTTTTTTTTTTTTTTTCTTTATAAAGTAAAAATCTTGTATTTTGCAGGTTGCAATTCTGATACGGATACTTCCAGTGGACAGCAGGCTCAAGCCAAGAAGCCAATGAGCTCTCTCATAGCTTGGTAACCTGTCGTTGTTGCTTGTAAGTATTTCTGTTATGTTTATAGATTGTCTTTTAAGTTAATCTGTCTTATTTCAGTGTTAAAATGTAAAAAAAAAAAAGTGCTTAAATTTTAATTATAATGGTGAAAAAAATGCTTGTCTTTTTAATTCTTTAGTCACATAGATAATATTACTAACTTTAAGCTCAATGTGTAACATCTTCAAGATCTCTGTTTTCACATTTAGAAAAGTTACTTCAAATGTTAGTGGATAAGAACGAATGAAAAGGTTGGATTAAAAATAAAGCCATTAATACTTTAGAAATTGCTTTGTAATACAACAATGTAAAATAAAAAGCTGGGCATCAATTATTTCAGATATGATTATCCATTATAATAATGTTTGAAGTAATACACACACACACACACACACACATATATAATAATAATAAATATAAAAAAAATTAAAAGAATTATCTTTTCTATTTTACCTCTTGCCATATAATGTGTGCAAACTTATAAACACAATACAATTTGGAAAGAAATATTTATAAAACGAGAGTAACTGTAATTTTAACATTCATGTAATTTTTTTTTATATTTGCTTTATAATGTAATCATATTTAATTCTGAGGTCATTAGGAGAAGGGTATGTCAAACGGGTATTTAGGTGTATGGGCTTTTTCCTCAATATTCCTTGTGAAAATATAGATGTTTTATAGGTCTATACATATTATATGGCAGAAGAAACATTGTACAAGACACTTATTTTCTAACAGCTTGTGCTTTGGTATCAGCCAAAAGCCATAAATGCAGTATTCTCTCAATGTTAGATAACCACAGTGATGGATGATGGTAGACTGACTACCTTTGAGGTTATGGGAAAGAACTTAGAAAGCCATCACTGAATACAGGAGTCTATTTAAAAAAAAAAAAAAAAATTATAGCAGGAAATACAGTATTTTCATCTCTTAATCTTATCAGTGCAGATATTGATATTTTTTTTTTTTTTTTTTTTTTTTTTTGGGGAAGTATTCGGCAAACTGAGAGCATTGTCCAGGTAAAAAACGAAACAAAAGGCATTCAGTCAAACTTTGCTAATTGTAGATTATGGTTGCTTCTTATTTTAAACAAATCAATTCATATGAACTTGGAATAAGACAAGATATTGCTGCTTTTTTTTCTTTTTTCAAATTTGAATGCGCAATTTTTTTTTTTTTTTTTTTTTTTTTTTAACATTTTAATTTCCTCATTTGATCAGAGACAGAATGTTTTATTTCTATTTAGAATTTCACAAATTCATGAAGATTGAACAAAATATACCAAATATTTTATACTTGTCTCTCTCCTAGAAAAACAGTTATTTTTAAGAGGAAGATGTGTTAGTGGTTTGCAGTTTTAAGTATAATTCATCCTTAAATATATTAATTATACCATAACAAAAATAAAAGATATTGTTGGGAAAATATGACTCCTATGGTTTAAATGAAATGCACTAAATACTATTATCTTGCAGAAGTAAAAGAAAAATTTGGGATTTATTCAGGATTACATTGCAAAGGTTAGACTTGAGAGAGAGAGAGATCCCTCTTATTTATATTTAGATGATTTAGATTTTCTTATAGAAACTTATAAAAAAAAAACAATCTTTTGATTTCTTCACTAAAAATAAATAACTCAGTGCCAAAATAACTCCCTAGTCTATAAATATAATTGATATCAAGGCCTTTCTGCTGAAAAATCTCTTTCCCAAAATGTCTATATATGAAATTGTCCAGTAGCTCCTCTTGTCTGTTGTTGGACAAAAATGATTGCCAAACAGATTTTGATGGATAACTGTTGTATTAAGGTACAATTTTTGATAAAATCTGACTAAAGGACAAAGCTGCTGATCTTGTGGGTTGAGCTTGAACAGAATCATAAAAAGTTTAATACTGAAAGCCTCCTCCTACTTCAGTTGGACTTTCATGGCTTTTAATTTAGTTTAAAACCAGTCAAGAAATGCATTCAAATAAAAATTCTTTCAAAAACAGAAAAAACTGATTATGACTACTAAGAAATAATTGGCAAATTATAAAATGTAGGAAAGTGGAGAGAAAAAAAAAGAAAAAGATAATTTTATTATAATGTCCTAAAATGTATTCGACTGAAACCTTTGCTTTGTTTAGTCTTAATTGCTTTAATGTGTTATTGCTGTAAAAATGAACTTTCTTCCTTTTCCAAACAGCAATACTTCAAAATTGTTTTCTCACACCCATATATATATATATATATATATATATATTATCCCATTCAAGGTGATATATATTTCACCCCATTCAAGGTGATAAAGAATCTAGCAAAAAACATTATCAAGAAGAGAGGACAATAAAAGAACAGAATTCAAGGAGACAGATGATGATTGACATTGCATTTCAATATTTGAAGATCAAAGTTGACTGAAAAGCAAGAAACCAGAAGAGACTTCCACAAGTGAGAAGTGTGATAGAAGAAAATTTTAGCATAGAATTTATAGTTACATCTAACGATTTCAACTGTAAAATGATGAGACTTAGCTGCCACCCTTAAAGTTGAAGTGCCAAAGAGAAAAGCTCATTGGAACAGTTAGCATAAAAATAATTATAGTAAAAGCACAGGGAAGCTACGTTAATACAGCGGTGGAAAAGTAACTGAAGCCAAGATACCATGTCAGGGCCAATAACATTGCAGATTCTTCTTTGGATTTTGTCAAGATTCTTTAAGTACATAGAAGCACCAGACCGTATGTGGCAGCAATATTCAATGCATGGATGAATAGTAGGCTTATAAAGGTTTACGATAGATTCTGATGATAAAAAGTATCTAGGATAACACAGTGAACCAATTTTCCTAGCAGCAGATACAATATAATTGTTCCACTTCATCTCGGTGCAAAATGTTAGCCCAAGAAGTTGGAAGGTAAAAAAAGTTTTCTGACAATTAAAAGAGCTATTTTGCTTTGGAGATGTTAAAATTGACAAGCCATTCCTTGCCCCAGTTAACAACAGATTGTAAGTCATTTTGGAGGTCAGCTTCTAATTTGACCTTATCAAACTGAAGACAGGAGTAAACAGTTGTGTGTCATTCAGTATAGATACCGACTTGAGAACTAATATTGGGAATGTTGTTAATGAAAATTAGGAACAAAGAAGTTATATTTTTAAATGATTTTAACAGTTTTATCATTAAAACAACATTAAATAAGTAATTTTTCATATGCAGTACTGATCCGTTAAGATAGTATACAGTTTGGATTTAAAAAAAATGTTTTACTAGTATCCAATACCATTTATATTCTTATATCTTTCCAACTGAGCAATATTCTGGGAACAAAATGATACTAACTAGTTACTGACCTTCTCTATTCTACTAATTCTAGCAAACATATTTTTTTTTATTATTAGTTAAAAAAAATGTTTGACTTTCTAAATTATCATTATATATTTGTCCAGTATACTTGCTTAAGAAACAATTTTAGGAAAGAGTGTCCCATCTTGTTCAGCTCCTTTGACAGAGAAAAAAAACACCGATTTGAAAATACATTGTAATGTTTTAAGTGTTTTAATGTTGAACAACATTTAATAAGATAATCTCATTGGCCATTAATACTGAAGTGAATTTATACTCACTAGGTACCCTCCATATGTGACTTTGTGTCATTCTAAATTAAGTTTAAGGAAATATCGGCACTTTTTGAAATTTCTGTATTTATATTTAGAAAATAAGAGAAATTCTTCTCCTACAGTCCAGTCTTTTTTATCTTCTATTAACTTTCTGGAATTTTTGCTAGGTTAAAAATATGTATTTTTACTTAAATTCTGTTGTGGAACTGACTCCTGAGAGGATACTTCCCTGATCACTACAGTCTTAATCTGTTCAAGTCTAGGGTAGAACTTATCTTCCCCACATATCTGCATAAACTGTGTCTCTAACTCTGTAACCCTCTACTTTGATTGATTCCTGGGCCTTGTACAGGGTGAACATCGGTTTTAAAAAAAAAAAAAAAAAAAAAAATCTTTGCTCTCTTAAGTCTTATTTTGAAGAGTTCCTGTTAATCATATGGATTTGTCCGAAATAATTTAAGCTTAAAAGACTTTAGGGGAAGCAAGATGGGTAGCCTTTGTTTGTTTGTTTTTTTTTTTTTTTTTTTCCCAAATAATTTGATCATTTTGGTGTAAAAAAAACAACTTATTTTTTTAACATTTACTGTGTTGTTCACAGAAAAGAAAAATGTGATTTAACTACACTGAAACAATCAAAACTGCATCTCTATTTTTTTAATTTTAATTTTTTTTTATTAATCAATTCACCCCAAGCAAGGCAACAATGCCACTAAGATGCAAGGGGTCACTGGTAGTGAAAAAGAATTAAAAGATTTTAGAAGGAACTGGAAAGCTGATCCTAAATGGGGGAACTAGGTATAAACCTCTACTCCAGTTCAAAAGACCAAGGAGGAGTGAAAAAAAAAAAAGTATTAATTCATCATGTGTAATGTAAAATGAAAGGCATTTTCTCAAAGTTACAGAAGGTATAATTTTCTTTTGATCCTGTAACCAAGATGCAACTTTGGATTACAGATTTAAAAGGCTTTTATGGAATATCTATTGAAAAAACAAAACTCAGTTTTTGCTAAATTTGTCACTGGACACTAAAAGATTTTTTACACACTGCTAATGGCAATAAAAAAAAAAAAATCCTCAAAAACGCTTTTTTTTTTTTTTTAACTGAATTTTTTGATTGCTGTAATATTTCTTGATATTTTTTTTTCAATATACAAATGCAATATTTCCATCAAGAAAATTTAATCTGCTTATTTAAATCAAAGATTTCTTTCTTTTTTTTTCTGTTCATGTTGATCTGATAAAATGCAAAGTTTTATTGATTGAAAAATATATTTTTCTTTATTCCTATAGGTTTTCTCTTAAAAACAAAAAAAATGTCCCATTTTCAAACAATTATGTTTATTAGGTTTGTTTTTGTTGGTAAACATTTTTGCTGTGTAATGTT